TTCCTCTTCGTTTTTTTTTTTTTTTTTTTTTTTTTTTTTTTTTTTTTTTTTTTTTTTTTTTTTTTTTTTTTTTTTTTTTTTTTTTTTTTTTTTTTTTTTTTTTTTTTTTTTTTTTTTTTTTTTTTTTTTTTTTTTTTTTTTTTTTTTTTTTTTTTTTTTTTTTTTTTTTTTTTTTTTTTTTTTTTTTTTTTTTTTTTTTTTTTTTTTTTTTTTTTTTTTTTTTTTTTTTTTTTTTTTTTTTTTTTTTTTTTTTTTTTTTTTTTTTTTTTTTTTTTTTTTTTTTTTTTTTTTTTTTTTTTTTTTTTTTTTTTTTTTTTTTTTTTTTTTTTTTTTTTTTTTTTTTTTTTTTTTTTTTTTTTTTTTTTTTTTTTTTTTTTTTTTTTTTTTTTTTTTTTTTTTTTTTTTTTTTTTTTTTTTTTTTTTTTTTTTTTTTTTTTTTTTTTTTTTTTTTTTTTTTTTTTTTTTTTTTGCGCACCCCCCCCCCCGCTCATCATACCCCACACTCGCAAAGGACGAGGACTTCAGGAGATGAGTGAACAGTTTTTCGTTAATCGGATACGCGGGCGCCCCTGGCCCCGGACGGCCCCACACTTGCTGCATCGATGCCGCCCCACGGCGACCCTTAAAGGTAACATCACCTTCGTCCAATCGAAATGTGCTAGGACTATCGTAGATACTGTAGACACATCTGAGACGGTTTCTGTCGTTTTCTTTGGCAAACTTGCTCGGATAGACTTTCGGGTCGTAATATGGCAGTGGACCTGTGAAAAACATAAGTTGGAGCAGGAACTTTATTAAACTGAGCTGCGTGGTAAAGGTCCCAGAAGTACAAAAGTAGCAGTAGAGCCTTTACGTTGCTTGATCAAATGTTGAGCTCTCATAAACATCCGTATCAAAGTGTAAATTTGCAAATTACTCATTAAAGGCAAGCGTCCCGGACCAAAAAACGGTTAGGCTGGTGGGCGACTCGAATACGAATGACAGGATGATAAGCAAGCAACAAAGAGCGAAAAAAAATAGTTCACAAAACGCGCTAAAAAGCCCATATAGAGTCTCACGGCTGAACGCGTACTGTAGGTAAATAACATTGAGAGGGCGTGGTCGGACGTGTTTTCACTTGTTGGTACCAGTTCTTCCTCCTTATCACCTCACTGTCACCATACAAATAGATAGAGTCAGTAGTGGAAACACCACTACATAGATAGCAATTAAAATATGAAAGTGGCGTCGGCCGTGTCCAATGGGCGGCAGCGGTGGTTACCGTCGGCTGTTGGGTGCGCTTTCTACCGTACTTTGAGCTAACGAGGTGTACATCCTCGTTACGGTTTCGAATAGAACTATCTTGTTGAACTATGAATGGAGCACTGAGGCGTGCCCTTAAATGCTTCGCTTTACTCTTCTCGTTCCCAGACGTAAAGGTCAACTAAATTAAGACCAAATTGTGATGACTTGCCTGTACTGGCTGCCGGCTCCACAATCAAAGCGCTATTGTTCCCTCCACATGTTCCCCCAATCCGGTTGCCACGAGTAATTATGCTGAACTGCGTCAAAATTGTCAAGCATTCCTGAAAATGAAAAAGGATCTTGAAATGGAAATCAAGAGCGGTGCTCACGAACCTTTGCAGCTCAGTGATCGCCGGGACGCAAGCTGCACGTCAAAGTATTGCAAAACGCATTTGAACGCTTAAGCCGTCCGAGATCTCCAGACGCACATAAAATGAACTATTTATCCGTTGTCCACATTTCAAGGATGATTTATGCCTAGATTTTCATATTTTTGAGAAGCAGTTTGTTTTTTGTTTTTTTGAGCAGTTTTTGAGCAGTCGACAGTGAAGGGATCTTGGTCGTAGTGTACACTGGGGCAGGGTACAGCATCGTTGTGTGACACACATGGGAGGTCGTACTTGCCGCTGGGGAGGGGGAGGGGATCATACTTGATCACTGGGGAGGGGATCGTTTTTGCCCTTGAGAGAAAACTTGCGACTATTTCCGATGAAAATAGTTGTTGGTTGCTGTTTGGCCTGGCGAACCCACCCCCCACGCCCCCCGCTCGACGGACTTTTGGAAAAGTAGCAAATATTCGGGAAATTCTGAAGGTAAGAAAGCAGGTGGAAACCGATGGAGGTGGCAGGTAGATGCGGGTAGGGGGGAGTTCACCGAAGACCGTTTTTAGGTGGGGGGGGGTGTCGTGCTGACCCACCATGCTGTTGTACACTGCACTCGGGTCACCTACTCCAAAGGAGACAGTTTACGCTGATCACGTGTGCGGAGTCGGGCCTCTATGCAAAATGCCTCCCGTAAGCCCTCCCTTTCTACGCCGCTCAGGCGTATGCGGGAAGTCCCAGCGGGGGGGCGTCAAATTTAATCGAAAACCGTTTTGATAGTTGACTCTTCTTAGCGGGAGAATAGTCGCCGGGTCATATTGCTTCTTGTTGGAAAGAGAGAGGGAGTCTATTTACCTTGGAGAGAAGTTCGCGGCGTTGGGAAAAATCTTTCCCGGTTGTTGACTTCAGGCGGTTTTCCCCGTCCACCTGAACTCCCGTTGGTGGCGCCACCAAAATTATGTACCAGTTGAAACGTAAGTAGATCTTTTTTTTTTTTTTTGGTTACTGTATGACACGCCCTCCCCCTCGTCGAACAGCAAAGTTTTGGGGACTATGACTAGAGAAATCTGAAATTCGGCAGAAATTCGCTGTCCACTAACCCATGCTAATGACACATTTTCGAAGTGAAACTGTGCACACACCTCCAAGGGCGATTTTGTGCGAAGTAATGGGTCCCCAGCTGGGCTACTTTCTCCGCCCAAAAGTGCACGGAACGGGGCTGAGAGATAGTGGTGCCTGAGTGCCTTTTCCATACTCCTCCTACGCTATTACCAATGTGCAGCGATTACGTCGGTACCGTGGTGTACACCACCATCCATACACCGTATTCAACCTCAGCGGAACACGTATCCTGCGTAGAGAGCAACCAGAAATTAGACGGCGCACACAAGTAGCGCGTTTTGCCATGGTTAGGCGTGTTACTGGACGCGGGCGGAGTATGAAGAGGCAGCATTTGGGTACCCCTACCCTACAGCTCTGTCCCCGCCCACGTTTGAGTGGAGAAAAGTAGCGCGGTACAGTTGAGGAGCCATAGGGGGGGGGGAAGACACTTTTCTTCATTGACTTTCAAGGCGCTATAAGTTACACTTTATAAATTCTGATTGGACATTTCCACCACCATATTCAACAGCATATTGTATACTATCATGATACTCCGCCACAGCCTTCTGGACGAGCGCCATCGAGAGATTCTGCCACGCGACCGTGATTCGGTGCCTGAGTTCAGCGAGGTCGTTGATTTCTCCGCCAGTAGACCATCTGTTGAGCTCCGCTGGAACCCGGTAATCGAAGGGGTTTAGGTCAGGTGACACACTTGGATATTCCGTCTTCTTCAGGTACTCAACGCCCTTCCATTCCAAGTAGGCGAGAGTTTTTCCAACGCCCTTCGATTCCATGTGGTGGCACCCAATCCTGTAGCAGTAGTTTCCAAGATGGTACGGGCGACGACATGAAGGCAGGATATTCTCCTCGAGTTGCTCGATGTAACCGTCAGCGTTCACTTTCAGTCCGGGGTCCACGAAGAAAATATCGGTCTTCCCATTCCAGGAACTTCCGGTCCATACCATCAACCCGCGCCTTGGCGACTGCGGTGAAGATGATATCCTGGACCGTAGCGACGTTGTCGGAGCTGCTCGATGTTGGAGGTCTTCCAGATCAAGAGTGCCGGTCTCCAGGTAGCTCCATGGGTGACTCCATACAAGAAGTTTCGCAGCTGTTTGGAGGTGACGTGAATTCCATAGGCCTTCTCCAGTCCGGCTGCGATTGGAGATGGCTTCATATTTTGGATGTACATGAAGGTTAAGGGCGAGAGCCAGCTCCTGCTTATCGAGGAACATCTTGGGTATCTTCGGCCCTGGTACTCGTATCCACGTCTTCTGTCTGTGCTGCAAGAACTTTACTGATATGTTCCTCGGCTGAAGTGTCTTTTTTTTCCCCCCCCCCCCCTGTATACCCCCACACTCGGCAAGGACGAAGACTCATGGAGATGAGTGAACAGTTTTTCGTTAATCGATATCCTCAAAGGTAACATCACCTTCGTCCAATCGAAATGTGCTAGGACTATCGTAGAT